ATTATCTTTAATAATGTTTTGGATAGCACAATATAAATTATCTATACATAAATTCTTTGCGAATTGATTTTTCATAATTAACTATATATTAACAAATAGAATTAGTTTTCAACGTTAATAAAGACTTTATAACCCAATATAAAAAAAGTTAGGTAAAGATAATTATCAAATTCATGAGATTCATTTTTTAATTTAGAATGAATTATATGTTAACAAATATAATTATTTTTCAAAATAAAGACTTTATCCCATAATATAAAAAAAATTAAAATAAGGATAATTATCAAATAAATGAAATTCGTTTTTAATTTATAATTAATTATATATTAACTAATGTAATTATTTTTCAAGGTTAATAAAGACTTTATAACCCAATATAAAATATTTTTAGATAAAGATAAATCTAAAATCATTGAAATTCTTTTTTATTTATATTTAATTATATTAAAAATTTTAATTATTCATTAAGGATATAAACGATATTAACCGCTCTAACTTTCAACGTGAAAGTTACAAATTAATCAGCAAATTCACTTAAATTTTATAATTGAAAATATATTTGTAAGATAACAATCTAATACAAAATAATTAACATATTTTCTAAAAATATAATATTATTAACATAAATTCGTTTTTATTTTATAATAAATTATTAAAACATGAAAATAAGCAAAATAACCTAAAATCATGGAGAAGTTGACAACTAAGCAAATTTACTTCTCAAATAATGTTATAGATGTTGGAATAAACCTTGAAATATTTAGTGACTTGACATAACTTAAATAAAACTTAGAGGGCATATTATTCAATTAACTAAGAGTTTAATATAATCAATCAAAATTCATTGTTGTTCGCAAAATATTATATATTGCGCTTTAAATCCAGTATTTTGCATTATATGTATGTAATCAGGAGAGGTTTAAAGTTGGTATAGTTAAAAAAAAAATTTGATGAAGGTAAAATAAATTGAAGGTTCAAATACTTCTTCATTAACATTTAATGTTATTCAACAAAAAATAATTTTGAAATATTTGTATACTGTGTCACTTAAAGTTTATCTCAGTGGAGTTCATTGAGTAAAATATTTAAAATAAAATTCTGAATATATGAAAACTTACACATATAAATTACTATAGATAACATCAGATTTTTTTAATTTCTCAAAAAAAACATCAAAACTGAAATTTATAAAGCCTAGAGAATGAACTTATTAAAGTTTAAATCATGACAGAATATGACTTCACATTTTGGAAGACTATTGACTAATTTTTAAATCTCAAAACTGAGCTAATATTAAAAATATTTTATCTAATATCATAAGTGTTATAATAGTTTAAACTTATGAAAGTTCTGCACGGTTCTTCTTTCTACTTTTGGCTTTGTTAATCTATCTAACATTCTAGCCATTTATATTTTCTCTTTTTATTGCTTTCGGCTTTGTCAATTTAGCTGTCTAATTCTATTTTCTCCATAGGATGGAATTATCATTCCCGTCAGGAGCACTAAAGTGAGAAGAGTTCTTCAACTAACCATTGCGCATGTACTTTTTCTTCTTCAGCTGACGTTTACTTTATCTCGAAGTTCTAACAATTTCTCCACTTCTCTTCGTTCATCCCCTTCTGCATAGTGGAGTTGTTATGAAGTATGAACTTGTTAAACCGACCTGGAGAGAGGCCACTTCTCATTGCTTACGCGAAAGAACACCTTACAAGGTGCTATGCTGATTTAAAGCGTCTGAAAAACGAGCATGCAACGTCTTTCCATATATGATCACCATTTCGTCTTAACATTCTTTATGTGCTGTCTTTCTGTTAGACATGTGAGCTAACATTGAGACTCGTGTTCCGTGGAATAGTACGCACATCTGCAAAATGAGTTTGTAATGTATAATTTTCTTAACTACATAAGTGGACGGTGGCTTTTATCTGTTTTGGAAATGGACGGTGACTAACCATCCATATTTATGCTAGTGCAATAATAATTATTGAACTTAGGACAAGATTACAGACAAATAAATGATGATTATGTTTTTTGACATGCAGTAGCAAAGTAGGCGCCCACAGAATATTCAACAAACCAATCAAACTTTTTCATTATTATCTTGCCAACCACATTCGTAATAAAAAAAATAGTTCAAGATTACTTTTTAGATCAACTAAGCAGAGTTTAAAAGTTTACATAATGTGCAAAACTCGTATTATAAAATGGTTGGTTGACCATGTTCCATAAATGGAAGGCCAGCTTCCTAATAATGGAAACATGGTTCACTGAAATTTGGAAGGCACATCTACATACGTAACCAACTACACATATTGAGAGACCATAAGCAACAATACTTGCCTACAGCCACCCAAAAGCAACTAATCCAGCTTTTAAAGCTGGCATAGATATTGATAGAGCAAGAAGATAGTTACCAGCACTTTGCGGCTGCTCAAGCTAGTCCCATGTTTTAACTATACCCACCCAAAGCGAACGACATGTACTACTAGCACGAGGCTCCAGCTCACAATGTCTGATTAATGAATGATCAAGAGCCGCCACAAGGTATTATTCCTTTCCTATTAACTTGAAGTACCTTAAGAAAATGCTCAACAAGCACCAAACCAATGTGCACGGATATATCAAATATTAGATGCTGCTACGACTATTTGAGGTACCTCTAGCTAGCGTTGATGTATATTTTTCAGAGCAAGATCCACTATCCACAAAATATTATTGAAACTAATCAAAGCTTAAAATGTTTGATTTAATCATTCAAATGCAAAATATATAAAATAGACCTTAAGAATGGTGAATCCAAGACTATGCAGTGTATCTTATTGTATTCAGAGATATTAACTCTCTAGTGGTAACAAAATAAATGTTGAGTAACAAGCAAAATATCAACTGGTCAGAAATAGATGAGTTTCACAGCTTATCTCTCCCTCTCTGCCTGCTTCGATTTAACTTGCGGTTACTTTAGTCTCTCCATAGAAATTAGGATCTGGTTGATAGTATTCAACATCTCCTTCGTCTATAATGATCTTCTTTCATACTTTTTGCTAAGATTCCCTGTAAATGTAATGGCAAAGGTCCAGACTTATCAGGCTCCCTGTAATACTTACCTAATACTGGTTTAACTGCTTCTGTCTGTAAAAGAGTAAAGAGCAAGCAAACACACAAATAGTTTAACCTTATGTAACATGAACACACCAAAATAACCAAACACTCTTTTGTTTCAGTTACGTACTGCTTCTTCTAGATGATAATGTGGGATCCGTGGGAAAAGATGATGATGATGTATCACATGAGTTCTAATGTCATGATGAATGTTAATGATCAATCCGTAGTCCCGATCCAATGGTGTAAGTCCTCTTCTCAAGTAACTCCATTCCTGTTTTGAGATAAACATGAGATCTTACACAACCTTACCGAGAGAGATAGCATTGCGTTCTCTCCAAAGAACGGTGAAAGGCTAGAGACTATGCATTTTCTTACCTTCCCACGGTACCAGGGGAGCTTATCTTCATGACCATGGAGATGAAGGTAAATTAAAGTCCAACCACATAACATTTATCTATATGTTACATTATTGTGATGTCAAGTAAAGGAAATAATAAGCAACAGCGGAGTAACAGAGACGCATTACCCAGTAAGAAATCACATAGAGTTTGAGCATTTGCACTGGATCCATCACAAAGTTGAGACAGATAAGCAAAGCAGTCATTGCAGTCCAACAAGCAGTAGAAGTAAGAACATCTTCTCTCTCTTTAGGGAGGAACAAGGCGCTGTCCGGTTGGTAATGAGAAGCCCTTTTCCCCGGACTTCGAGCCCATTGAAACAGATGGAAAGTAAAGATGAGCTTTCTTTTTGTAACATTAATAGAATAGGTTTACATTGTTTTCTTATGCTCTTCAGAATTTATATTTTCTTTTTTTTTTTTTGCTAGAGAAACCTTTATTTCTTGTTTGATTTAATTAGATTGTGTTTAAGTTTCTAGGTTTTGATTTCCCGCTTTTCTTGATTCATTCGGTTGATATTATTTTGGTCCTCGAGTGTTTTTACTTTTTAATCAAAATAATGTTAAAGTTACAAAATTCGTTGGTTTTTTATTAAATAACAATTACAGAACATATGTTCTTACAGACCAAAAAAAAAAAATATATATATATATGTATATATATATTTTCTTTTTTTTTTAAATCTTGTTATATATCCCACCTAATAAAAATTGCAGAAAACATGTCAATAACTGCTAATATAGCATTACCCACTTGTGAAAAGCTTAGAGGTGGATTTCACTCCCTCTCAAAATCTAATCCATTATCTGGTCCAGAAAAACTAATTAACTTAATGTTTATCATCACAAAAATTCATAAAATCGAATATATTTATTTTTGTCAAAGTCTTAAAGTTTTAGTTAAGGTCTTGATCAATAATAGTCTCTTAAATAAATCATTAGTATCGTAATTTGTTCCACTTAATGACCATAAATTGCTTTGTTGGATCAAACTTTAACCCTAGTATTTTTGAGTGGATTATAAGGTCCATTCATTTTACATCGAAGATTCCTGGTAAGTAACTATAGCTCGAAGAACAAAGCCTCAATGCTCCTTAACCAGGACCTCCTGAATTGACACTTTTGAGTTTGATGGTTCAACTCCAGGGTTAGCTATGTTTTAAGGACAGATAGACTCGAGCTGGTGGAGTTTCAGTAGATTCGTCTGGAGCAGTCTCAGCAGGTTGATCCGGAGTAGTCGGAGCGACCCCAGCAGATTGCTCTGATTCTTTCTGCTTAGCTTTCTCCGCAGCAGTAAATCGCCTTGGTGTTGAATCATTCAGCTCTCTACCACCTCTCAATTCCACTGCATAACAATCCCTTAGATTTCTATCAGTTTTTCCAGGGAGCATCCCCTGCTGTCTCTTGACACTCTCTGCAGTCTGAGCGAGAGCAATGTCAATCTGGCGCATGTGACTGCTCATTGTGTCATATTTCGTGTTGAGCTCAGTGAACATGTTGTCCATCCTTGTATTGATATCAGAAGTAGCCTGGTTTAACGCTTTGGCCTGTATCTGTTGACTCTGGAGCAGCTGCTGCATCATGTTTCCTAAGGCTTTGATCTCACTCTGTCCACCCCCTGAATTAGCTGGAGCATCTTGCGGGTTGCTCTGCTGATTCTGATGGTTCTGATTTTGTTTCTGGCCTTGAAATCGGTTCTGAGCTTGGTTGAAAACAAAAGTCTTGCCTTGAAAATTCGAGGGGAAACCTCTCTGCTGCGGAGCACCTTGCTGCTGAATTCGCTGCATCTGATCCTCAGAATTCTCTGTGTTGCTCCTCTGGTAAGAGAGCGGGTTAGGGTTGCTCTGGTAATTGGGATTCTGGTAATAGTTCCGGTTCTGCACATACCCTTGACCATTGATGTAGAGAACTTCCTGATGATCCTCTCCCTTTGTTCCTCCCTCAGCAGCAAGATCATTCGCTATTTGCTCTGGTGTAGCCTCATCCATGTACATCACCTGCCCCTCATTGCTCTTCAGGAGCAGATCAACCTTGGCAGTTAGCTCATCTTTCCACTGAGCATCGACACTGCTCACCTTCTTGGAGCGATCTGTTTCTGGATTTTTGTTCGCAGAGCTAGCAGCCATATTCTCTATCAGCTCGTAAGCACCCTCGGTGGTCTGTGTCATGAAGTTTCCCCTGCTCGCAGCATTGAGAGCATTGCGAAACTCCCACTCAACACCATCATAGAATATACCCAGAACATAATCCTTCTCAAAACCGTGGTGTGGGCACTCCCTAAGAGAGTCATTAAATCGCTCCCACGCATCATTGAACGGCTCGTTCGCGTGCTGCTTGAATGAAGAAATCTTGTTCCTGAGGGTTGCTGTTTTAGACTTGGTGTAGAAGTGTCCCAAGAACGCGGATCGGACTTGCTCCCATGTAGTGAGAGAGCCTGTAGGGAGCGACTTGAGCCATCTTGACGCCTTGTCCGCTAGAGAGAACGGAAAGAGCATACACTTGATGTAATCAGGAGGTACACCATTAGCACGTGTGAAGCTACATATT